AATTATCAATAATTGTAAATAGATACAAAATCTTCAAATATAATCAGCCCTTGGGACTTATGGAGGCTTGGTTCTAGGACCTCACTTGGATATCAGAATCCAAAGCTGTTGTTTGGACAATGGTTACATTAAAAGCTCAGATTTCACCTCTACATAATACATTCATGTAACAAAATTGTGCTTGCTGTATCTCTTAAATCTGTACAAAAAAAAATCAGAGGACGCTCAAGTCTCTGATACAAAATGGTACAGTGTTTGCATATAACCTATGTGCATCCTTCTGTATGCTTTAATTTATCTCTAGGTTACTTATATTACCTAATACACTGTAAATGCTGTGTAAATAGTTGTTATACTGTGTTGTTCAGGGAATAGTGACAAGAAAAGTCTGTAAATATTCAGCGCAGACATCATTTTTTTTGAATTTTTTTTATTGCAGTTGATTGAATCCATGAATGCAGAATCCACAGATATAGCGGGCTGACTGTACTTATGTTTTGTCAAATTCAGAAACATTCTATTTACCTTTAATCTATTTGATTTGTTTTGCTTTGTTCTCAATGTTGAAGTTTTCACCACTTTGCTCTCTAGTCTCCCACCTTCTTGGGGAGAACTGAGTTGTTTTTGTTCCTTTATTATTGAAAGACAGAAGCTATTAAATAGTGTGGTCTGGAGTAGCCTCACATAGCAAATTGTTCCTGGACTGGCTCTGTCACATTGAGATTGCAGGATCTTATCTGTACAAAGATTAAATCTTTCTCTCTCTTTTTCTTTCTTTCTTTCTTTTTTTTTTTTTTTTTTTTTGAGATGGAGCCTCGCTCTGTCATCCAGGCTGGAGTGCAGTGGCGTGATCTCGGCTTGCTACAACCTCCGCCTCCCGGGTTAAAGCAATTCTCCTGCCTCAGACTCCTGAGTAGCTGAGACTACAGGTGCACGCCACCAACACCGGTTAATTTTTGTATTTTTAGTAGAGATGGGGTTTCAACATATCGGCCAGACTGGTCTCGAACTCCTGACCTCATGATCCACCCACCTTGGCCTCCCAAAGTGCTGGGATTACAGGCATGAGCCATTGTGCCCGTCCCAAGATTCAAAGCTAAGTTGCAAGAAAGTCATGCAGAAAAGACACAAGGTTATGCCATGCTTTAACATTTTTAAAGAGTACACTTTATTATCTACAAAAGTGAAAAAATTCCAAAATATTTTCCTTGGTTGGTATGTATGAACATATCTATGTCTACACTTGTTGTTTCCCAGGATAAATTTGAACTTTAACTTTCTCATCCATGTTCTCCTGTACTTCCTGTGACATATACCTTTCTCAGAAGAGACAGTCTTCTGCTTCATACCAGCAGGTCCTTGATGACAGATGTGTCAAATTCTGGTCAGGAGACACAAACCACTCCAGTTATTTTTACTGACAGAATTTAATATAATGGATTAACTAAATGTAAAGGCGTAAACAACTGAAAAAATAAAAAGAGAAGTCTAATGTATCACAGATGTAGCAACTGAAAAAAGCAGCAACATCCATCCCTGGGCAGAGAGTAGAAAAGGAAGAAGTTGGAATTATTAACATTTAGAAAGTTAGAGGAGGCCCCAGTGGAGCTAAGCCTCAGAACCTCAGGGGCACCTGCTGACTGGTGCTGTTTTCTCTGAGATGGGGGCATGATGAAGCTAGTTCTCCAGGTATTGGCAGACTTCCACCTGGCTTCAGCTGCTGCTATGGGAAGGAGCTGCTATTGCCAGGTTGAAGAAACATTGCCAGTGTGACGCTTCCAGGAATTGCGTGCAAAAGGAAGCTCCAGAAGAAACAAATAGGAAGGAGCAAGTTTCTTCCTTCTTTGCACTCGCTGACTCCCACGAGAGCCTTGTATTAGCAGAATCAAATATACAGCGAGCTGGCAAAGCAGAAATGTAGTTTACAGAGTCCTAGTCACAGCATCTTAGAGCAGAGTAGGAAAGGGTGAGTTTGCAGGTGAGAGACAATAGCTTAATAATTGGCACAATAGAGAATATGTTTTATTGTCAGTCTCTGGCATGGTTTCAGAACTACAGTCTTGAATAAATGTTTTGGGCCAGGTGTGGTGGCTCAAACCTGTAATCCCAGCATTTTGGGAGGCTGCGGCGGACAGATCACCTGAGGTTGGGAGTTCGAGACCTGCCTGGCTAACATGGTGAAACCCCATCTCTACTAAAAAATACAAAAATTAGTGGTGCCTGTAGTCCCACCTACTTGGCAGGCTGAGGCATGAGAATCACTTGAACCTGGGAGGTGGAGGTTGCAGTGAGCCGAGATCACAACACTGCACTTCAGCCTGGGCAAGAGTAAGACTCTCCCTCAATCAGTCAATCAGTGCTTTGGAATTGATATGTGTCTACAGTTATATTTTCAAATGTGATTTCAATGGTGAAAACTTCAGTTTCTCTTATAAGAAGAGCTAACCTTCTTAGGAAAATGGAGCGCTTTCATTGTAGAAGTGAGGTCCCAATGTTAAGGTCTTAAGGAATTACAGGAAAAGAGAGAGAATTAAACTGCCCTTAATCAGGAGTTAGCAGAAGTTGAAGGGAATAGAGTGATGGGCAAATTTAGTGGCTGGAAAGGAAAGGGGAGATCAAACAGTCAAAGACGTGTGCCAGGACCACACGACCTGTGAGATTAGGGTGGATAGTGAAAAAGAACCAGTGAGAAAATCTTGGTAGAAGGATGACAAAATGATTTTTTAAATAGAAATGATAGATAATTGACTTTGGCCAGGCATGGTGAGTCACGCCTGTAATCTCAGCACTTTGGGAGGCTGAGGCAGCCAAATCACTTGAGATCAGGTGTTCAAGACCAGCCTGGCCAACATGGTGAAACCCTGTCTCTACTAAAAATACAAAAATTAGCCAGGCATGGTGGCACTCACCTGTAATACCAGCTACTTGGGAGGCTGACGCAGGAGAATCATTTAAACCTGGGGGGCAGAGATTGCTGTGAGTTGAGATCGTGCCACTACACTCCAGCCTAGGTAACAGAGCAAGACTCTGTCTCAAAAGAAGGAAGGAAGGAAGGAAAGAAGGAAGGAAGGAAGGAGAAAAGGAAGGAAGGGGAAGGGAGGAGGGAAGGAAGGCTTGATTCTATGACTATAACTTTAAAGGTAAACTCAAATCTTCAAGGCACTGTGCTGCTTGGACTGGTTTATTTATGGGTAAAGGGGCAGTATGCTTTAGACAGTGAGATGATCCATATGTTGAACCAACTCTGCGCCAGCTGGAGCTATAAGATACAGGTAAGTGACAGAAACAAGACCTCTACACTTTCTTTGCTACTGGCAAAGCAGAGTTCGGGATGACTCAAACTCTGCTCCACATGGTCACTCATCCTCATGTCCTCATGGCAGTAGCAGGGGCCAAAGGGAGGAAACTGAAGCATGCAAGATTCTTGAAACATAGCCTCAGAACTAGCACACTGTAACCTCTTTCTCATTCTATTGGCTGAGCTGCAAGTAACAAGACTGGCACAGGTCAAGGGTGGGGAGAAAATAATCACCTCTGAATGTGAGGATCTACAAAGTGATATTGTAGGGGGCAAGAATGCAGGGGAAGGTGAAAATCTGAGGCTACAGTTGTCATTGATCTACCTTAGATAGATCTGTTTTTGCTCTGTCCAGGTCCCCAGCCAATTGGATGGTGCCTGCCTACATCGAGGGTGGGTCTTCCCTACTTTGTCAACTCAGACTCACATGCCAATCTGCTCTGGAGACACCTGCATAGGCACACCCCAAAATAATGCTTTACTAGGCCTCTCAGTATTTGTTTCCTAATCCAGTCAAGTGGACACCTGAAATTAGCCATCACAGCACAGAACGCCTCAAAGTGTGGTCTGGATTCCAGCACCATCAGCATCACCTGAGTGCTTGCTGGAATGGCACAGCCTCAGGTACCACTCCACATCTGCTGAGTCAGAGTCTTTGAATGTGGGGGCCCAAAACACTGTTTTAAAAACCTCTCCAGGTGATTCATATGTACTTAAAATTTGAGAGACAATGTTAGCAGACCTAACAGACCTCAATTTTTCTTTAAAAAGTGGGCATAACTAGGCTTTAGTCAGCCTCTGGAGTTTTCTGACAAGGAAGAAATTTCTAGGAGTAACTGGAATGAGAAAGCAACTTTTTTTGTATATTAAAGAAATACAATCAGGCCGGGCATGGCAGCTCATGCCTGTAATCCCAGCACTTTGGGAGGCTGAGGTGGGTGGATCACCCGAGGTTGAGCTTTTGAGACCAACCTGACCGATATGGAGAAACCCCATCTCTACTAAAGATACAAAAATTAGCTGGGTGTGGTGGCATGCACCTGTAATCCCAGCAACTTAGGAGACTGAGGCAATAGAATCACTTGAACCCATGAGGCAGAGGTTGCGGTGAACTGAGATCATGCCATTGCCCTCCAGCCTGAGCAACAAGGGCGAAACTCCATCTCAAAAAAAAAAAAAAAAAAGAAAGAAATACAATATTTTGTATTTCAAGCTAGCAAAGCAGGATTTGTTTTGTTTGAGATGGAGTTTTGGTCTTATTGCCTAGGCTGGAGTGCAATGGTGCAGTCTCAGCTCACCGCAAACTCTGTCTCCTGGATTCAAGCGATTCTCCTGCCTCAGACTCCTGAGTAACTGGGATTACAGGCGCCCGATACCATGCCCAGCTAATTTTTGTATTTTTAGTAGAGATGGGGTTTCTCAGATTCCTCAGGCTGGTCTCGACCTCCTGACCTCATCAGGTGATCCGCCCACCTTGGCCTCTGAAAGTGTTGGAATTACGGGCGTTAGCCACCACGCCGGCCATTTTTTTTTTTTTTTTTTTTTTGGAAACAGAGTGTCTCTCTGTTGCCCAGGCTGGAGTGCAATGGTGCAATCTTGGCTCACTGCAACCTCCACCGCCTGGGTTCAAGCAATTTTCCTGCCTCAGCCTCCTGAGTCGCTGGGATTACAGGGAGCTGCCACCACGCCCAGCTAATTTTTATATTTTTAGTAGAGATGAGATTTCACCATGTTGGCCAGGCTCTTCCCGAACTCTGGACCTCATGTGACCCACCCACCACATAGCCTCATTTTCTTTCTGAATGGCCTGCTGCAATGGGGGCTCTTGTCCAAGGCACAGCAGGGAAGATAGCAAGCTGTGCAGGGTTCCATGTGTCTTTGCTGCTGTTCAGTTTTAAATCATATTTCAATCAGTCAGCTCTTCACCCATCCCCCAGTCTTAAACTACTATATTTTAAAATGATCAGCTGGGTGAGGTGGCTCACGCCTGTAATCACAGCACTTTGGGAGGCCGAGGCTGGTGGATCACCTGAGGTCAGGAGTTGGAGACCAGCCTGATTAACATGGAGAAACCCTGTCTCTACTAAAAATACAAGATTAGCTGAGTGTGGTGGTGCATGCCTGTAATCCCAGCTACTTGGGAGGCTGAGGCAGGAAAATCGCTTGAACTGGGGATGCAGAGATTGAGGTGAGCTGAGATCGTGCCTTTGCACTCCAGCCTGGGCAACAAGAGTGAAACTCTGTCTCAGAAAAAAACAAAACAAAACAACAACAACAACAAAACAACCAGCCTGGCTGACATGGTGAAATCCCATCTCTACTGAAATACACAAATTAGCTGGGCACCTGTAATTCCAACTTCTTGGGAGGCTGAGGCAGGAGAATTGCTTGAACCCAAGAGGCGGAGTTTGCAGTGAGCTGAGATTGTGCCACTGCACTCCAGCCTGGGCAACAGAGTGAGACTTTCTCAAAAATAAAATTTTTTTTTAAAAAGCCACATTTTGTTAAAATACCAGTCATATTGGCTAAATAGACTTTTGAGTAATTATACGCCTGATTATTAAAGTAAAACCTAGTGGTGCAATCTAAAACAGCCTAGAATGTATGAAAAACACACAGGAAAAGACATTTCACCAATCTAAAGTTATTACTGTTAATATTTGGTGTAGTGCTGTTTAGTATCTTTTTAATGTATGTTATGGTGTTGAAATCATACTATATCTGTTAAGTAGTTTTTCCACAGGATTTTATAATCATTTTCTACTAGGAGTAAATTTTCATAAACGTGACTTATAATGGCTGTGTGATATTCCATAGTATGCAAAAGCATAATTTATTTAAACATTTCCCTATGCGGATTTAGGTTAATTCCTATAAAATAAATTACAATAAAGTTAATGTCACAAAATCCTAATTCTGATGAATTCTTAGGCAGACTAAAGACTCATCTTTTTAGGCAATAAATGAGGCAGAGAGTTATATAGTTTACCCTCTTTAGTGTCATGGATATAGTCAGACACATTGAAAGAATTGATCTATAGCTTCCTGTAAGAAAACCAAAAAACAATGGCATCAGGTTAGAAAATAATAATTAAATTTTGTTTTTGTTTTGTTAGTATTGGATGCACACTTCTACCTCTTTCTCCTTCCCTCTTTCCTTCCTTTTTTTATCTGCGTGTTTCAGTATTTGTGAAATCTTTCTGGAATAAATCTAGTTTAGAAGGTCCTGGACCTCAGCTCCCAGCTCCTTTCTTCCCAGGTAACCCTCTGCAGTAACAGTAGAAACATGCTGTCCAGGAAGGTGTTGACAGGACTGGCAGTGTATCAGAGAGAATGGCAAATTTTAATTCCTTTTGAAAATGATGGCCGGGAACGGTGACTCACTCCTGTAATCCCAGCACTTTGGAAGGCCAAGGTGGGTGGATCACGGGGTCAGAAGATCGAGACCATCTTGGTTGACACAGTGAAACTTCGTCTCTACTAAAAATACAAAAAATTAGCCAGCTTGGTGGCATGTGCCTGTGATCCCAGCTACTTGGGAAACTGAGGCAGGAGAATAGCTTGAACCTGGGAGGGGGAGGTTGTGCTGAGCTGAGATCGTGTCATTGCACTCCAGTCTGGGTGACAGAGGTAGACTCTGTCTCAAAAAAAAATGATGCTGCAGTTATGAGGTCCGTGACTTATGAGCGAAGCTTGGATGTCTCATGAACACAAAAGACACTGTTCCTTGTGGCAGGAGAGAACTGTTTGGATTAAATTAAATATAACAAAAATATCTCCTTCCAATATTCTTTTAAAAATGTTTTCATGAATCACTGTGTTAGCTTTTTAAAAGTTTCTGATAATTTTATAACATCCTTTTCAATGTGGCATCTCTGTATAGCTTTTCAGTCTAAAGATATTTACTATAATCATATAACTGTGGTTCTCAGATGCTTTATTTTCTGTTTAATGATATATGTATATATCCTGTGACTGAATATAGATCATATGAATATATTATGGCTTAAAACTCAGAATTTGAATTTCATGGACCGTGCTAAAATTCAGTACAACTACAGGCCGGGCGCGGTGGCTCACGCCTGTAATCCCAGCACTCTGGGAGGCCGAGGCGGGTGGATCACGAGGTCAAGAGATCGAGACCATCCTGGTCAACATGGTAAAACCCCGTCTCTACTAAAACTACAAAAAATTAGCTGGGCATGGTGGCACATGCCTGTAATCCCAGCTACTCGGGAGGCTGAGGCAGGAGAATTGCCTGAACCCAGGAGGCGGAGGTTGCGGTGAGCCGAGATCGCACCATTGCACTCCAGCCTGGGTAACATGAGTGAAACTCAGTCTCAAAAAAAAAAAAAAAAATCAATACAACTACAATTGGATGCAAGTGGGAAAGAGCAACATGTGGCTTGAATTTTCCTTAAAATACACCAGGGATAGTTAAAGGGGAAAAGTGCTTGGGATAGAGTATAGCTGGCATTTTGCCAGATTCATACCATTTAAACAATGGTTTAAGACTGAATTAAAATCCCAGGCAAATCTCTTTAATCTCCCCCAAAGAGTATAAGATAGCTTTTCAACTCTGAGAGATAGAGTTAATGTAAATACTTCGAATAAGCAAAACCGGGAACGCTGGACTTGAAGAAACTATTTTTGTTCTCTGGAATTCAAGGACTTCCCACCTACACTGAGATCCCCGCTCTGCCTTTAAACTGCAAAAGAGGTTATCCCTGGCTTTTGCAACCATTTCTTTAGTTTTCCATTTTCAACACCAACTCCACCCTGCCATTGCACCCCCACACAGAATCACAGGCTCAAAATCTGGTTAACACAAATACCACCCCAAGCCCTTGCCACATCATCCAAGCCTGAGCATGCCCCCAAACTATCCTTTCTTCCCATTTCATAATTAGGTACAGTGAAGAATGAAATGGCATTGGAATGAAACGGAATGAAAATGGCAATTTTTGTCAGATTAATGGAATTTAAAGAGAATCAGTGGCTTTAATGATCAATGTTTCTTCTCCAAAGGCACTCTATTTCCACACTCAGCTGGAGTCTCCCTGTACTAGTGCCAAGCAGGCAAATGTCACCTTTGAATCCCAGGAGATGTGTTGATCAGCCTTCCAAACTGCTCAATGCAAAGATGCTTGGAATTCAGCAGTGCCACTTCCAGCTAACTGGCTCTGATTCCTATGGATGCAACTAGTCCTCCTCCCTGGCTGGACTAATGCCAGTCTACTTAAGGAGATAATTGACCACAAGCCAGCCTGTTTGACAGGCTTCCTAAGTGCCAGATGCCAACTGTGCTAGTCCCAGCCCTTGTGGGAGGGCCCGCTCTCCTTGGGATGGTAGCTAAGATAGCTTTGTCCTAACCTTGGCCCTTAACTCTGTTCTCAACTTCCCTCCAAAATATAATCAAGTGGGTCATTCCAAGTTGTTTTCTGTCTACTTTTAAGGCTATCCACACCTCCCTCCATCCTCATTGGTTCGCTTCATCTTTCTCAGGGTTCACTTAAGTGGGATACAGGCTAAACAACTACAGCTTTTTCTATCATCCCGGAAACTAGGAGCATGATTTCATGTTGAGAGGGTTACCAAAATGTCACCATTAATTTATTACTCCCTATATACAGGTTTTAGTGTTTCTCTATAAACTTCTATTATTGCCAAACCAATACTTTGTCAATGGCTGGACCCCTATTAAGCACTAAACCTGGCTCCAATGTCTTTGAGGGGATGTGTTTTGGCACTTGGGTATATAGATCTGATTCTGGTGACAGCAGTGAGCCTGGCCCTGGAGGGGGGAGTCTTACAGTCCTGATATCTCAAAAGTCTATCAAGACTATTCCTTGCTGGGTTCCTGGCTTGGTAACGTGGGCAGTGGGTGCTGCAGGCCTCACAATACAGTTAGGGTTCAACAGCAGGCACCAAGTTAGTGAAGAGGGGTCTTCAGGGTGGTGTCTAGGGCTTTAATTGGTTTGTCCCTTGGGATCAGGGTCTTGGCAGAAAAGCCCCACTTCCTTGTTTATTTACATGAATCTCCCTGTTCTCCAGTTTCCACTTTGTGCACAGCTTCCTCTGGGAAACAAGATCCCGCCCCCCGCCCCCCCCCCAACCCCATGAAAACTGTGACTTCTCATCTCTTCTCTTTCTCTCCTTACCCTAAAGATCAAACCAGACCACTGTGTTTACCTCACTGATGCAGGAGGGCTTCCACGGCAGGGGCTGGGTGCCAGGAGGATTCAGGCCACAGCTTCCTCTCTTCCTGGAGAGGCTGACCCTTGACCTAGCCCACCTCGGCCGCAGGTCGCTTCGGGCCGCACCTCTCACCTGAAAGCGGGACAGAGGGCACCCCTAAAAAGAACTTTGGGCCATCCAGGCAGGTGAGAAAGAAAGAGGAGGTGTTTCGAAGAAACTCCTGGGATCCCCTAACTCGCTGCAGTTAAACTAGGTTCGGGCCGGGGCTTCAGACTCACCTGGAGATAGAGAAGGCAGACCCCAAAGTACCCCCAAATTTATAACTCCCATGTCAGGGTCTCCTCCTCCTTCTTTCTTTTCACTTTCAATAGTCCAGAAAACCTCGCAGGAAACCTGGCAGTCTTAAGCTGGAAGAATGGGATATACTCCCAAATTGTTTGAGCCCCCAAAACAAAACTTCTGGCCTGAGAAGTGTCTCCCAGGCGAAGTCAAAACGTTGACGCACACTGCAATGGACTTTGTAAATAAGGGATTCTTGGAAACACCTACTTTTAAGATGTAACCTAACTTCCTCCCCACTCCTGCCACTGCCATTGCCATTCTGTGCACAGGTCGTCTTTTGACTTTTTATTTTCTTCTGATGAAAGGTCAGAGGTGACTGTCGTTGGGCCTGGCTGGGCAGACAGAAGCTTGTTCAAAGTAGACCCCCGCAGGAGGGCGGAGGCCCGGCTGCGGCTTCCCAGGCTCCAGCGGAGACGCCGCACCCGGCCAAGGCCGCCTAGCCCACTCCTGGAGCTGCTCTGCAGCCGCCGCTGCAGACCGGTCCCCTTCCTGCGGCTCGACCAGCGTGGCCGCCGGCTTTTGCCGACCAAGAGCTCTGCGGACCCAGACCCCAGGTTGCGGTCTCCCCCGAGGCGCGACGAGCGCGCGCAACAGGTCTTCCAGGCGGCGGTGGCTGGGCGCGGGTGCCTCGTTAATAAGGGAGCGGCAGCGTCCAGGCGCCAACCCGGCTGCCTCCTTCCAGCACCGCAGACTTAAGGGGGCGCCATTGGGCACCCATCCCGCTGACACCGAGTTCCTGGCCTTAGACCGTAGTCGAGGACCTCAACATGGTAGAGGGGTGATGGATAACGGTGACAAGAAAAACGCACTGTTACAGGTGTTTGCTGATTCAGTCTCTACCATAGTGGTGGACTTAAGTTCAATTAGGAAACGGGCATGTTAAAAATAGGTGGTGGCCGGGCGTGTGATCCTCACTCCTGTAATCCTAGTACTTTGAGAGGCCTAGATGGGAGGACTGTTTGAGCTCAGGAGTTCCAGACCAGCCTGGTAAACAGTGAGACCTGGTCTCTAAAATACTACTATTAATAATAAATAAGTAGAAAAAGAGATGATTGTGCCAAAGGCTGAAAGGAGCAATGGAGGAAATCGGTGCTTACTGGTGGCTCGCTCTCGAACTCACCCCTTTGAAGTTCTGAAGTCAAGAAATAAGAGGGAGGAGGAGGATTTGCAAAGTGCCCTGACCTAACAGTGGGCACTCAAACCACTGGATAATTGAAACACCTTCACACGGGGCCAGCAGAGATATCTAGAGAAAAGCTTTAATAGAGAACACCGCGTACAACACAAGCAGACATAAACAAAGTCACAACCCGAACGCGGCGAGGACACCAGGCGGAGGTGACTTAAAGCCAAAGGGCAAAGAGGATTTCTCCTCACTCTGCCCCCCTCCATTCCCAAAAGTGTGTCTCGAGTAAAGTGCTATTCCTGGAGCCCAAGAAGGGGGAAGGGCAGCAGCGACAAGCAGGTTTCTTTCCATTCACTAATTGAAACTGAAGAATTAATTCGCCTGAAAGACATAAACGCCCAAACAGCACATGGGATATCAAAACGGCAGCAGCGTGCAAAGGTGACAGGGTGGGCCCCTGGCTTCCGTCCGAGAACACTGGAAGGGAACAACAGCTCCTGCAAGCGTTAAGAGCAATATTGTCCAGTGATGTGCCGAGTTTTTCCTGCATTCATAAGTTTGGGGAACAAAATCCCGCTATACAAGTGATTTGTTTCCTTAAAATTCCAAATGGAACGGATCGTGGGAATTCACATTATTATTCTTGGGCGCTCATCCGATTGATACACAAACGAGTTGCAGGTGGAAAGTCGCCTGTATTGTCTCTCTTTGGTTGTGTTTCCCAACTTTTGGAATTTGGGGCTTTACCCTTTAAGCTGCTGCCATTCTCTTTTGTGCAAACTAATTGCTCTAGCGGTTCCTCCCATCCTTCTTGACCCCTGGGCTAGAGTCAAGAAACTTAGCTGTTTCCCAAAGATATTTCGTGGGGTTTCCGCTGCCTCCTCTTCTCCCCCACCGCCTCCAAAGCGACCTTATTAGTGACACCGTTTCCTCGAGCATTGAGCTGACTCGGAAAATAACGGTATCAAACGCTTCCTCTTTTCCTTCTCAAATAAAACGAGATCTCCTTAGTCGACGGCAGTTTTGTCTTAAACGTTCACGAGAGGCGACCGCTGGGGATGAGAACAGCAAAGAGAAACGTGGTGGCTGATCCGTTTCAGCGTCACTCTCTGTTGGATTCTTCCCGGGAGGTTTAGCTCTGGCAGCGTCTACTCCCAGGAATAAGGGTCGGAATCTACTTCCAATTTACCAGCGAATGAGGCTTTCCTAACCTCCTTCGTTCCCTTCTCCCCTCCCCCCATAACATCGATTTATATGAATTACAATATAAACTCTTACCTGAAAATTGGCTTTCATTAATCTGATTGTACAACATAGTATAAACACAGACACACGGAGGGTTATATTTATTCAGACCACTGGAGAATCCAGTTTTCGGGGTTGTTCGTCAGTTTAAATACCTTCCGTTCCAGCAAAGGCTCACACTCACCAGCTCTACCCCGCCTGGCCAGGGCGCCCTCTCCCCGTCAGGCGGTTTCTGCGGTTCCGGGCCCGGCTTCTCTCCGAGCCGCGCTGGTCCCCCCGCCCGCCAGGTCCCCTAGGAGTGCACTAGCACCGAGTGCAGGGAGCTGCCCTTGCTCTCGGCCGCGGTCGGGGCTGTGGGCTCCAGCAGAGAGGCGACTGGCGAGGCTGCGGCCGCGGAGCACACGGTGGTTGGCGCCGGAGGCTGCTGCGAAGCCACGGGGACAGTGAGCGCGGGCTGCAGCGAAGACACGGGCGGCAGCGCAGGCGTGGGCTTGATGGGCACCGGCACCGCAGGCAGGCTCTGGCTTGCCGAGTGGCACAGGGCCTTGACCGGGACCCCGAAGGCCCCATACTCCGGACCTACAGGGACTCCGGCTGCGGCCGCGGCGGCCGCGGCGGCGGCCACCGAATCCATGACTCCAACGTGAGGCCACACGGAGCTGACGACGTTGCCGAGCTGGCTGGGCACGGGGTAGCCCAGGTGGTGCATGACGGATGCCAAGGGCAGCCCTCCAGCCTGTAGCACGCCCTTGTAGTCCCGGCCAATAATGTTCTCAATGGCAAAGGGGTGCTTGAAGCCGGATGTGGACGCCGCGGCGGCTGCGGCAGCGGCGGCGGCTGAGCCCAGCCCGTAGGGTGGGAACTGAGACAGGCGCCCCACGCTGCCCACTGCGGCCGCCGCCGCCGCTGCCGCCGCCGCCGCCACGGCCGCCGCCTCCTGCATCTTGCCGGGGTGAGACGGCTGCTGAGGCTGCGACTGCTGCGGCGGTGGCTGCGGGGGCTGCGACGGGAGGTGCGGAGGCGGCTGCGGAGCAGTAGGCTGCTGGTGGAAATAGTGCACCATGTGTGGCGGCGGCGGGGGCGGCGGCGGCGGCGGCTGGGGTGGGTGGTGGTGATGGTGGTGGTGAGCCGCAGCGTGGTGATGATGGTGGTGGTGGGGGTGGTGGTGGTGATGGGGGTGAAGGTGCCCTCCCGGCCCGGCTCCCGGAGCGCCCTTGGTGCTTCCCGCGTGCAGGTGAGCATGGTCGGCGCGCAGCACTTTGAAGCGCTTGCGGCGCCGCAGGAAGCTGCCGTTCTCGAACATGTCGCCGCAGTCGGGGTGCAGCGCCCAGAAGCTACCCTTGCCAGGCTGGTCGGGCCGCCGCGGGATCTTGATGAAGCAATCATTGAAGGAGAGGTTGTGGCGCAGGCTGTTCTGCCAGCGCTGTGTGTGCTCGCGGTAGTAGGGGAAGCGCTCCATGATGAACTTGTAGATGTCGCTCAGCGGCAGCATCTTCTCGGCTGAGTGCTGGATTGCCATGGCGGTCAGTGAGATATATGAGTAGGGCGGCTTTTGGTCGCTGTACGAGCTCTTCCCCGGCCGCGGCATCGCCCCTGGCTCCTCCACCGCCCTCTGGCCCGCACTGGGCCACACCGTCTCTCCGCACTTCTTTCCTGGGGCCTGGCTGCCCCCTCTAATTCCCACTCCGCCCGTCCGGTCCCACCACTTTGCCTGCTCGCCCTCCAGGCCCTCTCTGCTTCTCTTCCTGGCCTTCTGCGAATTGCCTAGTGTTTCCGAGTTTGGTCTTTCTGGCCTACTCAACTCTTGGAAGCTGGCAACTTCTGGCCCCGACGGTTGCCGAGTGGCGCGCCCAACCTGCGACTGTGCGCGCCAGGTTTACCACTGCCTTCTCTGGTCTTCCCCCGGGTGGCGAAAGACCGAGTACTGTAGCTGACGGCTGTGGAGAGTGACGAGGGGTTGTGTTTCCTCCGGCCTCTTTGCTTTTTCTAGGTCCGAGAGAAACCCAGACCAAGCTGGATGACAAGAAGGTCTGGGCGATAGAGACTCTGGTCCTTTAAATCTGAGTTTGCGCCTGCTGTCCTGGAGGCCAGTGACAGCAGGACTTCCAGTGCCCTGGACGCAGTCTCCCTCCCAGGCACTTAGCCAGTCCGCGCTGGAGCTCTCCTTTTCCTGGAGGGAAAAATCAGGGTAAGGAGAGAGAATATCGGCTCCTAGCAGCCTGCGCCTCTCTTTTCTCCGAGGCTCGCAGAGGCGTTAGAAGAGACGCCAAGCCCTAGGCGATCGCTGCGGGAGAAAAAGTTTGGTAGTTTCTGCAGCAGCGGCGCCCGAAGGCTCGGCTGCGGGGCAGGGGGGCGCAGGATGCAGGGCGCCAGCGGCGTGCTGGCAGGGGCGTCTGCGAATGCCGGGTGAGTGCTGGCTGAAGAGGCTCAGCCTTCCGCGCCGCAGCTGCCGCCTTTCTCCCCGGCTTGTCTGGAGGAGAGGCGGCGGCAGTGGCAGCGACGCGCTCTCCTGGCTGCGTTTTGTAATGGTCCCCGAGACGCCGCGACCCCCGCAGCTAACACTTCGAGACTATCACATGACCGAGGCTGAGGGACTCCGCCGCCGCCACCGCAGCGTCTGTAGCTGAAGAAGGGGCTAGAAGGCGCCGCGCCTCGCCCCCGCCCCCTTTTCCACCTCCTTTCGGGCGCTCTCCACCCAACGCGTTCACCACCCGCTCGGCAGCCCCCAGCCACGGCCTGGTGCGGCGGGTGGCTCAGGCTGTCCGCCCCGAGGCTGCACAGCTCCGAGTGCGGTTCCCGATGCTGCACCCCACCCGGGGTCCACTCCACCATGCACCGTGGAGGGGGCAGGACACTGCCTTTTTGCTTCTCTTCTCTCTGGCATCTTCCTTTCCCGTCCCCTTCCTTTTACCCTTCCCTTTTTCCCCATATACTAGCTCTGAGCTTCTCTTTCCTTATAAACCCTTTTTCCTGGGCTAGCCCCTCCGGGTCAAGTTCAGAGTATCTTGTCCTTAAGGCCTCTTTTCTGCAAGAAACCCCAATGACCAGAGGGCTAGAGGGAAAAGCTCATGGGGAGGAAAGCATGCGGTGTTTTCGCCACATGCCAAGTTCATCGCAATTTTATTGTGTGCCAACTGCATGTGAGGCCCAGTGATCCGCGCCACGTACAGGGAGACAGGAGTCGATATAGAGGGCGAGACGGACAGTAACCAGGAAATTATTAATAGAATAGACACTAAGGGCTTGGCGGATGGAGGCTCCATCACATTTTCCTGTAGCGAATGAGCTGGACAAGATGAGGTTTCTCTGGGATGGTGATGTCTGAGCTGGGGCCAGAAGTAAGAATTGGGGGCTCAGGGGTCCCATCACCTGTGTGTACTAGAAGGAAGTCTTTGCTCTTCTTAGCATGGAGGTGTGGGGTGGGGCGAGGCAGGACGTGGAATGGAGTTAATTAAATAAGAAGCAAAAATTATCAATCCACAGGATCCTGGTGTGATCTGCGATGGAGAGGTGGATGAACCCAGGCGTGAGGTCCTTCTGCTTGCAGGTTGCTGCTCTGCACTCTTCCGCACACCCAGCAGGGAACGCCGGTTTACTGCAGGGATAACTTGACGTTGTATTCTCGTTTTGGCTTCCTTTGCCCCTCGGCTGGGAGGAAAAGCAGAGTTTAGAAACAAGTATACTCTCCGTCTCTGGGCCTGTTTCATTATTTGTAAAACAGGGTGGCTGAAGTTGGAAATTTCACGGAGACTTTCCTGCTATGCGATTTGAGGAGAAAAGAGCATCTAGACACTGATGCTTACTAAGTTTTCCCACGCCTAAACTCGAAGAAAGCCCTCGGCCCAGCTGCTTGGGGGGCTGCCCCCTAACTAAGCAAACTTGGTGACACCGGGTCAGATATTTTCGGCTTCTGGCTTTTGGTGAGCTGCACCGTGGGAGCACATCTGTCCGTGGGGTAGCTTAGCCAGGTCGCAGGAGTGCCGCGAGCGAGTCAGGCTCCTAATTTCCACCTTTAGCCAGGAGCTAGATTTCTGGGTAGCTGTGTGTGGCCAGTTTGTCCTAGGCCAGGAGATGTTTGATAATAGGTGTTGCGATTGAAGCTTGCAAGAAGACCCCCGGGAAAAGAGCAGATTCTTGGTCCTAAGTGCTTTTCACAGGACGATGTTTTGTCTTTCACTGCATGCCGGAAACATTTCTCTTGCCATAGGAGTTTCTGCGGGATTTTTGTCAGCTGAGACACTTTAGGGAGCCGAGCAGCGGACAGTCTCATGGCCTCGGGAAGCCACAGAATTCCAAGGACGCTCACAGTTTGGCAGCAAGAGCCCGCTGGAGCCAGGTGGCCCCTTTTCCTTTGAACAAGACGGTGCGACAACAGTCCTGTCCCAGCCCAGGAAGCTGGGGTCTACTGCACGGCTGTAAGGCCGCTGCTGAGGAGCTCCGCTTGCGGCTCCCGTAAAGGCTTTCCGGACTTCGACCCCACACGCAGCTTGAGCAAAGGGATCTTTTGTCAGTAGCTCGGATAGCATCTCTTCCGCGGGTTGCTGGAACAGCTGAGTCTCCTTTTGGGGAGCAGCTCTGGGACCGAGCCCCTTGGGCACTTGCTGCGCGTGGGAACCGATCGAGGGGAGGGGCTCTTCAAAGACTCCCGGGATAAGTCTTGGGCGCGTAATACGAACCCTGAACACTAAAAATCAGCCAGACGTTCACTGGGTGAGCTCGCTACAGCCTGCAGACTCGCCGCCACAGCCTCAAATTCAGCGCCAGGGGACTCGACCAGCGGGGCCAGTGTCTTAGGCCTACGCGAGCCGAGTTCAGCTGGCCGGGTTCCACGCAAACTGGGCTGGAACAGCCGCGGAGGCTGAGCGAAACGCCCCGAGCCTCCCGCTCCCTTATTCAGGGTGTGCTTGGCAAAGGTAGAAAGTGCTCCCCACCACCGAGGCCACAGCGGGCCGCGGCGGCCCAGGCCGCAAGTGTGGCCTAGAGAGCGGACCCGGAGCGCGAGTGGCGCGTCTGTTTTGGAGAGCGGCGGGCTGCGACCGCCGCGGAGGATCCTGGGGGATTCCCAACGCGGCTCGGGTCCGGGCTGCAGAGCTGGGGCCGCGGTGGGCGGGGCGGGGGGGACGCGCTCCCGGGAGGTTAATTCAGACAAGTTTTGCAGGCGCGCAGTGGCACCCGTGGGGGCAGGAACGCGCGCGCTCCAGCTGCCTGCAGACCCCCGCTCAAGAAAAACAGATCGTGTAACCACCCTGGCACCAAGCAGTCGGTTTCAAGTTTCCGCAAGTAATTTTTTTTGTTGTTTTTAAACAACTACGGCACTATCCAAATATTGGCTGGCGCTCAGGACGCTGGCAGGCAAGCATTGCCCCGGGCTTAGTGTAATTATCTCAGGCATATTTGGCTTACCCCTTAGGCAATTGTTGGCGACGCTTTGCTAGGAAGAGGGGTTCAGGCAAGCTTTTATTGCGTTTAATTGGCTCTAAGGAGGGGAGTGAAACAAGATGTGGAACTTTAGGAGCGGTTATTTATTCATTCTCTCTCTTCCATGCCCCCAGCCCCTGGAGGGTCTCACGCGCTCCTTGGCCTGGGTCTAGGCCAGGCCTTCCTACGGCTTCTGCGGACAACTGTGCCCAGCGCGAGGAGGAACGCAGATTACCGAAGGGCTAGGATGACGTGCAGGACTAGACAGAAGGCAAAGATTCACACGCACATCTCAATTTCCATGGGCTTTCCCTTTACCCACTGACCTCTGACGTGCGGAAGGTTGTCTGGGTTAGTTGCGTTTGGGTGTCTCCCAGGAGCCTTCTTGGTCACGCTAGCCTGGCACTTGCCTGACCCTCGGCTGACTTCTCGGCGCATACTTTTCCCAGACGGAACTCCTAAAGTGAATTTGAAAAGGGTGGGAGAAAGTCAGTCCCGGAGAGCGGAAACCTGGCTTTCAGCTCGAGTCCCAGGCACCACTGGCTGGATGACCCTGGAGGCGTCATTTCATCGCTTTGGGGTTATTTTTCTTTCCAGGATTACTCAGAAGTCAGAACTGCGCCTTCGAAGGCTCCAAGGAGTTGAGGTTTGAAGCTGTGATCTCGATGGTGGAGTGGTGCTGGGTGCCTGGGCGCTGGGCGCGGGGAGCTCAGCACCTGTGCAGCTCGGGACGGGGCGGGGCATCAGCGCCACCCGTCCATCCCTTGTGGCGTTTTAGGAATCCGTCGCCTCCAGCGTCACCACCCGACCCGACAGCTTGGTGAAGTGCATCCCTCCCGGGTTTCCGACCCGTCCACCCCCCGCGCCGGGCCCAGCAGGCGCCCAGAGCACAGGTGTTGGCTCCGACCCTACTTGGATTTGAGTGCATAGGCTCGATTTGACTTTTCAGAATGCCCGAGGGTGGGTGGTAGAAGGGAAAAGGCTGAGGCCGGGGGCATTTATTTCTTGGAGGAAAAAAAAGCACTGGCCTTGAATTTAGGAGACGACACTCTAGCTCCAGCTTCGCCACCTACTGGCTATGCTACTGCCTCCTCTCTGAGCCTCAGTTTCCTCTTCTCTAAAATGGCGATGATCCTCTTGCCTTAAAAGTGCGATTCTGAGACGTGGGATTATGGGAGTGAGATTATAAGAGTGACTGCTGGAATACTCTGATCCAGTAAACCCCTATCAAGAGCCTACTGTGTGCCCGGCGTGAGAAAACGCCTTCTTTGTAAAGTCTGAAGCACCGTGAATACATAAGATGCTATTATCGTTTTTGCTGTTTCAAGTCATCATCTTTTCCTTCTTCCAAATCTAACTGTACCTAAGAGCTCGACAAAATGAAGCCCGAGGGCGGTAGGTGAGCGGGTGGACATATCTGGCGTTGGGGTGGTCAGCCGCGGGGTGCACACCGCTTTTTCTCGCAGTGAAAAAGAAAGACAGCCCAACTTTCATCTCCCAAAGTTTGTAGCACCTCTGCTCGCGGGAGAGACTGGCTCGGTAGTCTGAGCCGTAGGTGTGCGTGTTTGGGGAAGGAGGATGGATACAGGAGGATCCAGCCAGTCGCAGCGGAGAGCTGGGGGATAGTGCCGGGCCGCGCAGGCGCAGGGTTGCATTGCCAGCGTCGCCCCACCTCGACAGGGACACCAGGCTCTCGTTTACCAAAACTCACTCCGCAAAGACCCTACATGCTGCCCAGAGTCAGAAAACTGACTTTCAAATCAACACTATTCGAGGCGAGATTCCTCTCGGACACCGCCTGTGTGTACGCAGCCTGTGACCCGAAGAGCGCAACCAGCGCGGAGGTGGGAAGCGTTTGTGTCACCCTAGCTGAGCAATTTCCCCTTTGCAGCCCACCCGCGCCCCACACCTCTTGG